CTCTTTAATGACTGAAAATATCTCCCCGCCAATGACGTAATCTCCCTTACACTGATTTAATTTATAGGATTTGGGCCACTGTGTACATTTTATCTTATAGTCCTGCATGCTGACTAAATTAGCAAATACCGGGAACATTCACTAGAATGAGCATAGGTAAAGGTAAAGGTTCCCCTTGACAATTTTTTGTCCAGTCGTGTCCGACTCTGACGTAATCTCCCTTACACTGATTTAATTTATAGGATTTTGGCCACTGTGTACATTTTATCTTATGGTCCTGCATGCTGACTAAATTAGCAAATACTGGGAACATTCACTAGAATGAGCATACATGTGCATATAGAAAATTCCTCACTTAACAGGGGTGGAGGCCTTAGATACAATCTGTCTCCTATTTATCATACTGCCCTTTCATCTCTCCCCAGAAAGATCAGGATCACACACATCAGAAATACCACTGTTAACGACTGGCCTTAGATACAATCTGTCTCCTATTTATCATACTGCCCTTTCATCTCTCCCCAGAAAGATCAGGATCACACACATCAGAAATACCACTGTTAACAACTGGTAACAACCCATAACAATCGGTGGAGAAGGACTGCAGAGGTGGGATTTTTACTCACCCACCCTCCATCCTTTGTCCTTCTAACAAGCCTACTCACACCAGGGGGGAGTGAAAGCAACATGGAGGATACATCAGGGATCTCCTACCAACTTCTCAGACTGAAGAAGATACTTGGATGAGCAGCGAAATGTTTCTACTAGAGATGGGGATGAATATAAAAATTGATCAGTTTTTCTGACAAATATTTTTATTTGTCGATCCATTCAAACTTGTCTATATTCGTTACCCCTTTTGGGAGCTTCTCTGAGTTTGCTGGAGCCAATTTGGAGCTCTGGCCACTCAGGACAGAGATCCTGGATTGGCACGTCTGGCAGCCAATAGCGCTGTTGAAAGGTATATCTACTTTTACAGATGCTTCATATAAGCTTTTCCCATCGGGCCGTTCCCCACTTCTGTTCGTGCTCTCCGGAGTGAGAATAGTTGCTGCTTGCGGGCTTGCTAGTGCTCTTGTGGTTTCACTTCTGCAACAGCAAAGCAAAGACTTATATTTTTCTTTTTCATCATCATTCTTCAATCATCAACAACTTTAATGGGAATTTGGGGAAGGATTTCAGGTAGCTTAGGCTATTTCTTCGGAAGGGCTTAATTTCATTTCAAATTCAAATCCATCAAACCAAAACTTGTTTGGGTCTCTCTCTCTCTCTCTCTCTCTCTCTCTCTCTCTCTGACTGAGATTTAGCTGGCAGGGTTTTTC